GGTGTGGTTACCCTTTCAGAGTCTGAGGCTCATCAATTATTAACAGCACCTCAGTGGGAGAGAGGATACAGTGCCAGCAGGGGAGAGAGACTGAGGGCAAGGGAGAGCAGGAGGAGGGGAAAGGGGGGGACAGGGAGAGGAGCAGGGAGAGGAGGAGGGAGAGGAGGGGGACAGGAGAGGAGGTGGACAGGGAGGTGGACAGGGAGGAGTAGGGAGAGGAAGAGGACAGGGAGAGGAGGGGGACAGGGAGAGGATCAGGGAGGGGAGAGGAGAGGGACAGGGAGGAGCAGGGAGAGGAGGTGGACAGGGAGGAGTAGGGAGAGAAGCAGGGAGAGGAGGGGGACAGGGAAAGGAGGGGGTCGGGCAGAGCAGGAGGGAGAGGAGGGGGACAGGGAGGCGTAGGGAGAGGAGGGAGAGGAGAGGAGGACAGGAAAAGGAGCAGGGAGAGGAAGAGGACAGGGAAAGGAGGGGGTCGGGCAGAGCAGGAGGGAGAGGAGACGAAGGGGAGAGAGGTAGGGAGAGGAGGGGGACAGTGAGCCCTGTGTTCGAGGTGGAGTGAGCACCCACAGTCCCGGTGGAGGACCCTGGAGCCACCCGAGCGACCGACACCTGGCACTGCACTCGGGGCTTCAGAGGTATAGCGCCTACTTTTTGGGGTGTGTGACATCTCTCAGCCCCTTTACAACGTCGTACGGGAACCTTACCGGTCTCCATCGCTTGTGCCGGTTTGTGCCTTTGAAAGAAGCGTTTGTGCTGCTTTTGTTGCCGAGATATAGCGCCTTGTTTTCCCGGCGATGACGTCACCGTGCACGGTGACTTTGACCCCCCGGTGACCCGTCTGCCGAGTTCAAGCGTCTGTTACCGGTGCGAGAGGAACAGCTCTTCAGGTGTGATACTCTGTGTGCCCGGGTGGGCGGCGGCGGTGGATTTTGCATTTAATATCGGTGTCTTCTGTGCGTTTGTGTGAGCAGGAGAATTAGATTTGTCACCAATATCACATACCCTAATAAAAAAAAACGCGCTATGGTATCTCGCAATTCCGACTTAGCATCTCAGAATTCCGACTTAAAAACACCCTATCTGGGTATATAATGTCCTGATATGAGACCTGTGTTGCGAGAGCGTTGCCAGGGTGGCATGGAAGCAAGGCGCCAGTCGTGATATAAGCTGCCGCGATATACATGCGATATGCATGGGGTCCCTATCATGACATGCTGCGGAGGGCTTGTCGCGATGGTATCCCGCAGTTACGCGTTTGGCATCAGCTGTCACGGTAGGGAAAGAAAAGGAAAACGTGCCTTAGAAAATAAAACCCACAAATCTTGCAATCACGGTGCTTTTACGTACAAAACCAAGGCGCTATATCTCGGGAACGAAAGCAGCACAAATGCTACTTTCAAGGGCACAAACGCAGCACTAACGAATGAGGTGGGTTTCGTCGTTTGTGCTGTCTGCAGGGGGGGCAGCTTCACGGAGTTTTTACCTGCCTTTAAATATTCAGCGGACTTGAGCACAACATACTGCACCAGATGAACGTGCACGCACGTACGGGGTTCAGAGGCTGGAGTAAACGCATCGCCCCAGGGGTCATATCGAGTGAGGCGCCATGAGAATAAAAACTGCGGAGGTATTACACTATTAAGTTCTGAAGATCGTGTCTGATCCTTCACGATGCTTTGAAATTTGTATGAAACCCACTATTCTATTTGTGAGACGTTGTGACAGCAGGGGCGACCACATTTGATACGTTTCCCAGCGGCAACGAACGTGTAAATTGAAGTCGGCCAAACATTATATTGTACGCCGTTTGTTTGTCCCTGTCCCTTTAACAGCCTCCCGTTTTCCCTTTTAGGATTCCGCGCCTTTTCTTCGTCCCCGCCCCGCCTACGTCAGCGGGGTTTTCAAACCGTCCTCAGTCAAACGTCTGGTCCCTCCTCCTGGCTAGGCGGTTGGTTCCTGCCCATGTCACTCGAAACCTTCCCTTGCTTCCCATTGGCTGATTTGGAAAGGGTCCCCGGCAATTCAAACAGTCCAAGGGCCGCCTCTCCCCCTGCCTTCTCAGTACTCGTTTTTAATTGGGCCGTGCCTATGTCTGTCAGAACCTCCTCCCCGTTCTATTGGCTGAGACGGACGGTCCTCCGCGCTGTTGGGTCCCGCCCCCTCTGGTGTGTGCGCGCGAGGCGGCGGAGGGGGGGGG